TTCTACGAATTAATAAGGCAAAAAACTTGCACATGCGTCTCCTTAAGAGCTAGGTCATATCTTCATTAAGTACAGAGGATTATCAGGACTAATCAATCAACAACCCTATCAGTAGATGGTTGCTGTTGGTACTTGCTCCCCTTGAAACCCTTCCGAGTGCTTCATGCCTCACAGCGAGCGAATACATGGCGCGGGAGGGGGTCGGGGGAGAGGGAGATCTTGATTTATGGATCACTACAGCTATTAAGAGAAAATTCGGAATGGGCAAAGATTTATAATTCTTTAAATCCCCCATCTTCAGCAGCTCCCTCCTGAATTACAGTGATGAGCGACCTAAAATTCATTTGCGCCCTTGCGGGAGGCGATCTGACTTTTAAACAACATCTCTGGAGAATTTTACTATAAAAGCGTGCTGGAACCATATCATTCTCGTGAAGTCTTCAAAAACCAATAAAAAGAACAAGTCAAAATCCGTTATACGAAACATAAAAGGTGGAAAAAACTCGTAAACAAGCGCCCACAGGTAACGATTCAGATGACTAGCACGAAGAGAATTTAGGAAAAATACCGCGGTGAACGAAAAACAAATCCAAAACCCTATGCCGAAAAAAGCAATCAAATTTCTTTTTAACTGAAATTTTCCACGCAAATTTTCGCAATAACCTACGCAACAGTAGCACAAACTCGAAAGATTTCTTTAAATTTTCGCAAAATCCTCTTTCTTAAAAAAATGTACCTGTGCTGCAATGCGGTGAGTTGTGGATTCAATATCACTTCTAGTTCTTTTGCTCTTGAAGCTGGGCTATCTTTTGGTGCACCCGTTTTTCTCGCATTCTGTTTCCTCATAATGTGCACTTCTTTTGGGTAAGCAATTACCAAACGAAATACAACAGTATTCTGCAAAAAAAAAAGAAACAAATTAAACCATAAAATTTCAAATGGATAAAAATCACAAGCAGAAACAAAAAATGCTGCCAATTACCAGCTGCAAGTTTTTCCACTCTCCCTCTTTTGCTCATTTCTCTTTGCGTTGCACTGAAATTACCTACACAGCCGAAACATAACAAAAACCCTTTCGTTCTCGGTTTTTGTGAGAGACAGAAGTGTCTGGAAATAATCCAGGTGGTGGAAAATAACAACAGCAATTATAAGCTGTCCGGGCTCTTAACGGTTCCTCTTCTAAGGGTTTTTTGCGGATTTGTTTCCCTGGCATATTCCAGTATTTATCAAAAAAAGAGCCAATGGAAAGGAACAGTGTGTTTCATTGGTTTGACTGAATTCCTTAAAAAATTGATGCGGATATATGTTTTTTAAAACCGCCAGCTGGCTCACGAGCAATTTCCAAAAAAGGAGCCATCGATATTAATATCCAAAGTACTTATTATTTACTTCCACCGTACCCTTTCAGCTACTTCCCAGTGTCTTTTAAACTTAGGAAAAAGACGGAAAATGTCTTAAATCTGCTTTTATATATAACAAGAATTTCACTATAAAATAAATTACACGACGAATTTAATAAGTAAAAAAAAACAACTTACAAAATGAACGATCAAATAATCATCAAAGGGGACAGCTTGCATTGAATACTTTTCTTTCAGTATTTTTGCTAGCTCAACGTAGAATGCTGTTTTTAGGCGTGCAATAGCTCCCAGCTCTTCACCCCATTTACCACTTTGCTCCATCGTTAGCTGCACTGAAAACAAATGTAAGAAGGCATTTTCATGGGACTGGGAAAACTTTCAGAAAAAAAAAATGATAAAAACGATAAATCAAAAAAACGGAAACCTTCTATGGACGGAAGAAAAGGCGGTGATTCATGAGATATTGGTAGTGCAATTGTATCTCGAACGCTAGCACTGCCTCTTTCAATCACCGCATACGTTGATCGAGGAGCATAAGGCTATAAATAGGGAAATTTTGCATTTACGACAAACTCGACACATAAAAAATGGAAAAAATGAAAAAACAGTAGAAGAATTTCGTAGTTTGACTGCGAAGATCTTCCAGAGGCGGAGATTTTGCTTTCTTAATCTCAAATACAATCGAAATTTATAATAAGGAGTTAAATGAAGGAGAAAAAGGAAAAGGGAGTTAAGAAATGAAAATCAGAAAATTTATGAAATTATTATAATGGGAAGAATCAGGTATTGGATAACATGGGCAATTCAAGTAGTGCTATTAACAAAGTCACAAATTCTGGGTAAGATTGCTCTCGAAAATTTAAAAAAAAAAGAAAATCCCTCCAAATTTCACCTCATATTTCATTTTTTGGGAAGACGGGAGCTTTGAGGTAAAATAACATCGACTCTACCTTTGAAACAAATTTTTTCCGCTTGTAAATCATGCTATTTGATGAATAAACGATTTCTATAGAACAATAAGAAAGGAATTATGTGGAAAAGTACCGCAGTTCGCCTTAGATATGGCGATATAGGATGAATATTTGTGATCAGTAAAGGCAAATCCTGTACCATTCGTAGCGTCTGTGATAACTTATCGTAGGCACTAGCTATAGTTCGGTAACGTTCCCGTGCATTCGGCAAAAGCTCACAAATTTTCAGCGTCCGTTCTTCTACGTTGTGAGGCTCCAATTTTAGAAACCTAGAAAACAGAAGGTAAAAATTACGTTTTTGCCTTTTTTTCGAACATAATAGATTCAGTGTTCAAAGAGATATAGCGTATTCTTTCAAAATATATCAAGACCGTCAAAACTGCCTAGATTACTGGCGTTTGGAACCGATGTTACTGGGACAAAAGCATATGAAAAGCCCAGAAAATCTGGCACAGCTGCAAATTTAACCCAAAAAACAGATCTGACCCAAAAATATCGCACAATCGTACCGATGTTCATGAAGTCCGGTAAGTCATAGCACAGTGATACTTCATAAGAAACCGATAATCACTCACTTTTCACAGATATGTTTGCAGATGAGAAGCGGGACATCCGGGGAGTTCCATGCGACTGTTTCACAAATTGCATTATCCGGATA